TTCAACACCAGATGATCTGTGTTTTGATCCTGTATGCTCCACACTGGTTTGTCGTCATTATCTGCATCGTTTTTATGTCTATATTCTGATTTACTTCATTTTGTATTTTGCTTTGTGTGTTACCTGTTGTTTTGTCTGTACAGCACTTTGGTTGGCCTTGTTGCTGTTTTAAGTGCTTTATAAATAAAGTGGTATGGTATGGTTTGTTTCTGACGAACTTGCGACATATCCAGGGTGTCTTGCCCAATGACCCTGCACGAAGAAGCAGGGGGAAAAATGGATGGATGGCACCTACACACCTGAACTGATTTAAAAATCTGGAGTGTTAGCTTGAATCATTGCATTTTGTGTTTTCTGCTGCCCATCTTTTAACCAACACTCCCAGACGTGAGCAAATCATGTTTAATTTTCTCTTCAATGACTTCCATTCCAATCCAGTTTAGAATTTATTTTAACATTTTATTATTCCCCTTTAAAATTCTTAATGGTCTTGTCCCACCTTATTTAGCTGATCTAACAGCTTTCAAAAAAGTTAAAACCAAAACAACTGGACTTTATTTGCAAATGAAGACGTTTCACTTCTCATCCGAGGCGCTTTCTCAATTCAAAGAAACAAGGAGTGTGGGATTCAAGTTGTAAAGCAGAGGTGTTCTGGATCTAATAGCTTCTGATGAGTTGAAGGCAACATTAAGTTCAAATACATTTTTACTTTGTACCCAAGTCCAAATACAAACGTTTGGGTGACCGAGCCATTTTGGTTGCTGCAACCAGATTGTGGAACAAACTACCTGAGAATTTGCGCTCCATCAGTGATCTGGTTCATTTAAAATATAATCTTAAAACTTTTTTTTTTCCCAGGCAGGTAATACCTAGTGGTTCTCTGGCATTTTTATATTGTTTTTAATGGTTTGTTTTTGGCTTTTGTATTATGAAGCACTTTGCACACCTTTTGGCTGTTGGAAAGGGCTCTATAAATGAATATTGATTGATTAAAACTCAATATTGCAATCACTTTACACACAGATTAAAAAAAAAATTATTTATTATACCTTGACTATTCATTGCTGTTTAATTAAATTTTAGGTTGGGTGGCACGGTGGCACAGTTGGTAGAGCTGCTGCCTCTCAGCGAGCAGGTCCTTGGTTCAAATCCCAGCTGGGGACCTTTCTGGGTGGAGTTTACATGTTCTCTTCGTGCATGTGTGTGTTTTCTCCGGGTACTCTGGTTTCCTCCCACAGACCAAAAACATGCATGTTAGACTGACTGGTAACTCTAAATTGTCCCTAGGTGAGAGAGAGTGAGTGAATGGTTGTTTGTCTTGTTTGTCTCTATGTGTCCCTGTGATGGACTGGAGACTAGGGCTGGGCCATATCATACCGTTCACGACAATACCGGTAAAAAACTTACATGAGAAAATAAATGATATCATGATATGCTAATTTCATGACATAAATACGTCATCCCACCACGTAGTGGATTTTTCTGCGAAAAGGGCATGAACAGAGACGTCTGACAGAGCTGCACTGTTTTAGAGCGAGAGGGACACAGACACATCTGAGCTGAGCGCTGTTTGTCTCGACAGTTTGTGAGCTGGTCAGCGTGAGGGAAGACGTTGCTTTTAGCTTTTTAGCTAGCGCGCTGCTACCTTGGAGTTACGTCAGTGCAGGCGGGTGGGGCGGGGGTGTGCGCAGCTCGGTTCTGTTGACACGGCGGTGCACACTGCTTGTATAATGGCAGGGGAAACATTGAATGTATCGACCACCGATTTATCAAGTCTGACTTTGGAGCATGACCTGAGTCTGACTGTGCACTATATTAACAGATACTGGGAACGGTGCAGCTCAAACCTCGAGACCAGCTGAGGATCAGAAAATTGGCTGCTCTGCTCAGCTGTCCTTTCAGGAAGCATTTCATTTGTTTTCAGCATTTGTCACAAGTTTTTGAAGTTATAGCTCATTTAAAGGCAACATATTTTTTTCTTGTAGGTTACATTTATGCAGCTCTTAAGCTTTAATTTTATTTAAGTATTTTTTTGTTTGTTTTTTTGGAACTGCACCGGCACTTTAGTTTTTGTGGTGGATTTTGTTCTATATTTTGTGGAGACTTTTTTAATCTAAATAACAAAAGGATCGTTTTTATTTTTATACTTTGAGACTGAATACTTTACTAAATAAAGTAATTGTAGTAAAATTAACCCTTGTTGTTTTGTTTTTATATAATACTGAAAAGCAAAAAGTTCATTTTGTCAAATGAATAACTATGATTTCTTTTTCTTTTTTTTTGTGTCATATCATGAAATTTATCGTTATCGTCACAATGCTCTGAAATATCACGATATTATATTTGAGCCATATCGCCCACCCCTACTGGAGACCTGTCCAGGGTGTACCCCGCCTCTATCACAGTAATGGCTGGACATGGGGACCGACCGGTGACCCCCGCGAAACGAAAAGAAAGAAGCGTGTAAAGACAATGGATGGATGGATAAATTTTAGGATTATTTTACAGTTTTTCCAAACTCTGTTCTGTTTGAGAACTGAATAAATTTAATTGAATTTGTTTGCTGAACATTTGATTTTTAGCAGATTAGAATTTCAATTCACACTGTGTAGCAGTGTGGTGTTGCTGTAAGAAACAAACCTCAGAGAATTATTTTGGGAGCACTTTGAAATATGTTATTTATTACACACATCAGGCCACTGAAGTCCTCTGTGACACTCGTGGTTTTTAGGATTCATGCGAACTAGGCTTGATGTTCACATGCGGACTTGTAATGTCATGTGCATTAACTTTGGTTATAGTAATTTAGTATGCAGCTACTCACTTATGAAAACTGTTTAGTGTTAATGAACATAAAAAGAGCAAAAGTAGCCATGCTTCTGATAAATCGTTTATGCATCAACTCAGAACAAGATCTAGAGAACTAGCAAACTGATTTTCCCATGCCCATAATCTGCTGCAGCCAAGCCAGATAGAATGAGAGAGGGCAGAACCATGAGTTCACAAAACGTATCTCATCTGTGTGTATTCATTGTCCGGTGTTTGATCTAACTGAAAGCTAAAATCAACTACCATCCAATAAAATGTGACAACAGATGAGAAAGGTCCATAACTCATAATCTGCCCCTGAAAACTACAGTTGCAGTGAAAAGTTTACGTACATCCATCATTGGTATAAATGCCATTTGACTACTCACTTCTAATAACCTGGGAACTACCTAGGCTCAAGCCTGCCATGAACTGGAAACTGCTGGAACATCAGTTCCACGTCACAATAGAACGAGAGGTGTCGGCCAAGAAAGAAACTCCAGTTCTAAAAGCCACACCTTCAGTCTGGACTGAATTCTGCAGCTGCTCACGTAGACAAGCCAAATGCTTTCTCAAAAAAGATTTGTTGGTTAGACAAGACAAAAGATTGGAGCTACTTGGCCACAATGACAAGAAGTTTGTTTGGAGGAGGTGCTTTCTGTGATGAATTGGAGACCTTTCCAGGGTGTCCTCTGCCTCTTGCAGTGACTGCTGGACAAATGTACCAGCTCTCTGTAACCCTGAATGGAAAAGCAGGTACAGAAAATAGACGAATGGAAATAGAGGCTTTCGAACCTAAAAACACTGTGGTAACTGTCAAGACTGGTGATGGTAGTCATTATACAGTGGTACTGATCTTCCAAATCCATTAACTTCACCTCAAACCAACTAGATGGTTACTTCCATCACAGTTTGATGTTCTGAAATGATCTTCACAAAAGTCCAACCTCAAACCAGTTGAAAATTTGTGAAATATGCTCAATAGCTGGGTCTGTGTAGGAAATCACCTAATTTAAATGAACTCTACCAATTCTACCAAGAAGTGCAGTAACATGTGTCAGCCAGAAATACAGCAGGAGTTTGTTACTGAATACAACAAGCCTACAGTCCAGATCACACTGGCCAAGACAGTTAATCAAACATTAGTGGGGGCGTATAGACATATCTGAGCTGGTATGTAAACTTTTGATTGTATGTGGCTTAGAGAAAAGTTACAATAAATTTAATCTTGCTTTTATTATTTGAAGCTGCATGTTATGATATTCTACCTGGGAAAACAAATGGCCTAAATAAACCATTAAAACCTGAAATTATTACGACATCCATGTCAATGATGAGTGGAAGAAAACCTCACCACAAATGTACAAGGAATAAACAAACAAACAAAAACAATGACAACAAATACAAAAGCTTTGAGGCAGCTATGATGTGTGTTGCTTCAAGGCCAGCTCAATTACAGCCTTAAAACAAAACAACAGAAAAAACTCACAGGAATGAACATGTATCACACAAGTAACGCACACACAGAGAAGCACTGCAGGTGACAGCAATCCAGAGATTGAGCAAAGCAAGATCCACCCGATCACCAGGAAGTCTGGTGGCCCAGTGATACCTGTGACGACGATCTTGGGGACATCCAGAATAGTTCCAAATGATGCAGTTTTACGGTGACCTCGCTTATACAGGGGGCGTGCTGCAAAAACACACACATACAGCTGCGTACACAACAAGCATGCGAACTAAGACAGACAGCAGGCCCAGTGCTTGAGTGTTGACATGAGCCACAAACATGCACATCATCCAGTGTAACGTGCAGAACAAACATGCACCCTGCCAAGTCCAGGAGCAGTGGAGCAGCATTGCAGTGGAGTGCACTGGCAATGCTATTTAGAAAAAAAAAATCAACAAGGTAATATGAGGAGACAATACTTGTGAAAGCGACATCAAAGTTTAGACTGCAATAAAAACAGTGAAATGTAAATAAAAAGAGCCTGACAGCACTGATGTAAAAGTTAAAAACTGACTTGTGACTGAAGAGAGTAGGAGGCTTCTTCCCACAAGGTTTACCCAAACAATTCTGCCATAAACATTTCCTATGCATATTCTTCCATTTAAAAATACAGAGGATCATACCAATATGTTTAGAACATTTTTACGAATGTTGTTTTGTGCCATATGATGTCTCGACATACCTGCAGGTGCAAACGACATTTTGGGCTCCAGCTCTGATAGGTCAGTGCTCATTCTTTTGCTGTCTGAGGATGCCAAGCACTGAGTTCGAGTTGGCAGGCTTTCAACACTGCCCCCTCTGGACAAAGGCAGAGATCTGAAAGGGTCTCCCTGTAAAAACGATAAAAAAAATATTATGAATTAAAACCTTCTGTTACGACTGCCATCTTAAATTGCCTATGAGTGAGTGTTCAAAAGCCTAATTGTGCCAATTAGTGTCCAGGTGTGCAGCTGGGGGAAGACACAGCTGAACGGAGCTGTGATTGGCTGCCTGCCTGCAGGTTGCTGCTTAAAGAGGAGCTGAGTTGCAGATGACGTTGGCGTTTCCCATTCACTCTGCGTGTCCCAACCAGCCACAGCTGACCTGCTGTCTACCCTTAAAATTAGTTTAGTTTGGTGAGTTCTTGTAGGGGTGAGCTGCCATTTTAGTTAAGACCGTTTTCTCCTGTTTTTGTTAGTTTAGATCAGGTAAGAGGCCTGTATTTTTGTTTACTTTAATTTGTAAGGTAAGTGAAAAAAATAGGAAAAATAGTTAAGTTTTGTTTGTTATTTTGGCCCGAGGCTCACCCTGAAGTCTGGTAAGACTCCACTGTATACATCATTCATTTATTCACATTGTAAATAAACACTGTTAAAACCTTTTCATCGGACTCCGTGGCTGCTTGAGGTGTGCAGAGGTGGAAACGCCCACCCCATATGTTCAACTGGCGCAACGAGCCTTTTGCCGGTTGTAACATAAATTGGGTTACTTGTCTGGGATGAGCTAAATTGGGTAGCTCTTCCTAAAAATTTTTGGTAAGTTTCTCTCATCTGGTTAGCAAATTTATTGCAAAATATTTAAAATGGATTTTGGTGTTGATGATTTTGTATTATATCCGTCAGTGGAAAAATTAGATCAATGTAAGAAAGCTGATTTGCTTATTGTCGTTAAAGTCTATGATGTCTACACCACTAGCCTCTACACCACTGACCAGGAAGAAACGTTCACCGATGCCCAAAGTGGGGAGGCCTCACCACCAGCACCGGCACCCCATGGGAATACAGGATATGGAATGGAGGTGAAAAAGTCTTTCAAGGCCTATTCCCATGGGTGGGAACTGCAGAAGTTCAACAACATGCTGAAATCACCCGTTATGCACTTCTACGCCTCATCAACGACGCCTACAGACTGGCAAATGGAACAACAAAGGAATTGACTGCAATGAGAGACATGATCATCCAGAACTGCGTCATCTTGAACCTGCTCACCGCCTCTCAAGGAGGGGTATGTAAGATTATAGGAACCACATGCTGCACCTACATCCCAGATAAAACTGGAAATGGTGGAGACATCCATGATGCTCTGAACGACCTAGAGCAGCTGAAACGGTATGTGGACAGTACAACATCAGGAGCACAACCCTTTGACCTTCTTTCATGGCTCACGTCTGCTGCTGAAGATTTGCACCCCCATCCTGGTAGTACTCGTCCTCTTCTGCGCTTTCACCACATGTGTCCTCCCACTTTTGAAATCTATGACGACGAAAGTTTTACAGGTGTTTTAATCAGATTTCGCCTGTCAAGGTTAAATCAAGAAAATTACACTCCACTGACACGATCAGAGTATGATGATGCTGTGTAAAAGAGATGCATTGTGATTCTTGTACTGAAATTATATTCAACAAATAGTACAAAGATGACGTTTTGCTCCTGGGCCAGCTATGTTCTCTCCTGTATTAAAAAATTCCTACTTGTTATCATTCTTCTGAAAAGCAAACACATTCAGATGTTTTGTCATATGTAAATTTATTTTCATCATTTCAAGATAATCACTCTTTCCTATTTTTTTTTCAGAAAAGCAATTCTTATTAGCTAAAGTTTAATGCTTCACAATTTGAATTTACCCTTAGTGAGGGTTAAGTTTCTACTTTCAAAAGTTTTTTTTTTTTAAAAACCTTGCTGTTTTCATTCTTTAAAGGTTTAATAATGATTCATTCTCACAAGTTTAACAGGACATTTAAGCAATCGCAAACATGTGAAGCAAATCATTTTTTCATCCTTCATTATTTTTGTTCTTTAAATTTTAATTTTATGATTTAAAGTTCTGTAGAAACGTGTTAATTTTTTTCTTTTTATGATTTATGATTTCAGTGAGTTTAAACTGATAAACAGGAGGGAAATGTAAGAGTTTTTCATGTTATCATTTTAAACTGCTTTATGACTCCTGTACTTCTGTGCATACAAAGCAAAAAGTTTATGATCAGTCCACATCCGAGCTGATAGTAATTCCCTGTATTTACATAAGCTGTTTTTACTTAGAACTGTTTGTTAAAAACCAAACATGTCAAAACGTATCAACTAGTATTCCAGCAGTGTCATTGTTTTTCTCCTCACCCTTAAACTGATACAGATGATTTCAACTGATACAGATGGTGTCAGAAACTCATTACAATAAGCATTTAATCAACTGAACCTGTACAAGATGTTTTGTTCTGATCAAAGAGTGTTTCCAAGCCAAACACTTATGTATCACTCTTACCAAATAAAAAGCCAGTTCTAACGGCAAGGCTTTGGAGTCCACCTCTGGTTTCAGACCAGAGGTGGATTTCCTTCCTTGCAAGGAGCGTTGGCCAAAAAACCTTACTCTGTCCTGTGTGGTGTCTTTTTTTTTCTGTTGGATACGAGAGAAAATACCTAACACTACATTTCTTTGTTTGGGTAACGATATAGAACGAATGTTGGAGTTGGCACAGAAATAATTTGTAAAAAAATACAAAACTAGTTTCAACTAAACAAATTATCATTAAATTTGGATAAAACAAATTACATAATATTCAGTAACAGTAAGAGAACTGTTGATGCTCCATTTAGAGTCGATGGTGTTGAGATTTGTAGAGTCAGTGAGGTGAAGTTTCTGGGTGTCATTATTGATGAAAAACTGACATGGAAACCGCACACAAATAATTTAAGAACAAAAATAGCTAAATCTATTGCAGTACTGTACAAAGTAAGGGAGTTACTCAATGATAAAGCACCGTTTATGTTGGATAATGCAATAATTGTCCCACACTTAATTTACTGTATTGAAGTCTGGGGTAAAGCATGTAAAACAATTACAAATCCTATTTATATTTTACAGAAAAGAGCTGTAAGAATTATCACTAGAAAAGATTACAGCCATCCATCAAATACATTGTTTTATCAACTGAAGATATTAAAATTCTATGACTTGGTTGATTATAATATTTTACTGTTTATGTATAAGGCTCACAAAAATATACTACCTTCTAATATCCAAGTAAATTTTGTTAAAAGGGAGAGTGGTTATTATCTTAAGGGGATAGAGATGTTTGTGAAGCCTTGGTTTCGTACCATCATCTTACAACTTCAATGCAAACTTCACTTGATAAAATTGCTCCACTGAAAAATAAAGTAATCAGTCAGAGGAAACTGGCTCCTTGGTTCAATTCTGAGTTACGTACTTTAAAGCAGCATCTAGAAACCAGGAGAGAAAATGGCGCTCTACTAATGTTGAAGAATTTTATTTAACTTGGAAAGATATTCTGCTAACATATAAAAAAGCTCTCCGTGATGCTAGAACTTTATATTACTCATCTTTAATAGAGAATAAAAATAACCCTAGGTTTCTGTTTAGTACTATTGCTAGACTAATTAAAAGTCCCATTTCTGTTGAACCATGTCTCCCTACAACTATAAGTAGTGATGACTACATGAGATTCTTTATAAATAAAATTATTTCAATTAGAGAGAAAATTCAAACCATCCTTCCTTCTACTATCTCTAGTCCCCTCTCAAATGATGCAACTTTAAAAATTTCACTAGAGCCTGATTTATGTTTGGACAGTTTTTGTCCTGTTGAACTCTCTGAATTGTCAAAAATAATAACCTCATCCAAACCATCCACATGCCTGCTAGATCCAATCCCAACCAGACTGTTTAAAGAGGTAGTTCCCCTAATTAATGTCCACATTTTGGATCTACTTAATTTGTCTTTAATGGATGGTTATATACCACAGCGTTTTAAGGTTGCTGTAATTAAACCTTTACTTAAGAAGTCTGACCTTGATTCATAAATTCTGGCCAACTATAGACCTATATCTAATCTAACTTTCATCTCAAAAATTCTAGAGAAAATAGTTGCAGGTCAGTTGCGTGAACATCTACAAAGAAATAATCTGTTTGAAGAGTTTCAGTCAGGGTTTAGAGCTCATCATAGCACAGAAACAGCACTAGTAAAAGTCACTAATGATATTCTCATGGCCTCAGACAATGGACTTGTGTCTATACTGGTCCTGTTAGACCTCAGTGCTGCATTTGATACAGTTGATCACAATATTTTACTACAGAGGTTTGAATATGATATTGGGATTACAGGAACGGCTCTAAAATGGTTTAAATCATATCTATCTGATAGAGTCCAGTTTGTAAATGTAATTAATAAATATTCTTCATACACCAAAGTTAGTCATGGAGTTCCTCAGGGCTCAGTGCTTGGACCAATACTCTTTACTTTATATATGCTTCCATTAGGTAAAGTTATTAAACAGCATGGGATAAATTTTCATTGTTATGCTGATGACACACAATTATATTTGTCCATTAAACTCAATTAATCCAATCAGCTACTTAGACTACAAGCATGTCTTAAAGACAAAAACCTGGATGACCCTTAATTTTCTCCTGTTGAACAGACAAGACTGAGGTTTTGGTTTTTGGACCTGAGCACCTTAGGAATTAATTTTTCAGTCTTTCTCCCTCCTTAGATGGCATTAATCTGTCCTCCAGCTCTAATGTTAAAAAAACTTGGTGTTATTTTTGATCAGGACATGTATTTTATCCCCACATTAAAAACATTACTAGAACTGCATTCTTCCACCTGCGTAATATCACTAAAATTAGAAACATCTTATCTAAAAATGATGCAGAAAAACTGGTCCATGCATTTGTCACGTCTAGACTGGACTGCAATGGTTTATTATCTGGATGTCCAAATACTTCTTTAAAACGTCTTCAGTTGATCCAAAATGCTGCTGCCAGAGTCTTAACTGGAGTTAGTAGGAGAGATCACATTTCTCCAGTTTTAGTTTCTCTCCATTGGCTCCCTGTCAAAT